TCCTGGCCAGCTGGCTCCAGATTAAGTTGTATCGCTGAAGTGTGTTCATTCCTGCCTTCAGTTCCCTGTCCCTTCCCTTTCTCTTGGGTTGTTATTAGTCACCTAGAGATCTGCTGAAACATCTAGAAACGTTGTGTAGAGGACTTGCTATTGGGGCATATGGTTGACCAGTCATATCTTATACAGGGGTTATGTTTTAAGGTCAACTGGTAAGTCCATACTATCTTGAAAAATCTTTCTGATTACTTGTATGAGAAGGGAAGGGGACAATTTAGCAAGCCCTGTTATTGGTTCCAACTTTTCACTCTATTATCATCCACACTCTTGCCAAAGTCTCATCTTACAAAGGCACTTCCCTGCCTCTTGGCTTTGGGTTTGGCTGCACGACTTGCTTTGGTCAGTCAATTATAGACAAAAGTGAATTCCAGCTCCAAGTCTAGGTCTTAAGAGACATCCTGAGTTTCCACTCATCCCCTCCTGCACCTCTGCCATTGCCATGAGAAGCAAAAGACCCAGCTACCTTATAGTGTCTACCTAGTAGTCTGAAGCACAAAAGTACCAGCTGACCAGCAAACTTAGGAGAGAAGAATAAAAGCATATTTTTAATGTGATTGCAATGTTGTGGGTTTTTTCTAAAATATTTCCATGGCAATAGCACCTAAAGCATTGATCTTATCCATAGGTATAAGTGTGCAGTGTATAGAATATTATTCAGTGCATATTAAAGAGCACATATCAAGGGGCCGTAGCAGGTAAAGCTACTGCCTGTGACACTGCCATCCCATAAGGGCTCCAGCTCTTGTTCCAGCTGCTCCACTTCTGATCCAGCTCCCTGCTAATGGCCTGGGAAAGTAGTGGAAGATGGCCCAAGCACCTGCACCCACATGGGAGACCCAGAAGAAGCTCCTGGCTCCTGGCCCAGCCCTGGCAGTTGCAGTCATCTTGAGAGTAAATCAGTAGATATAGATCCTGTCTTTCTGTCTCTCTCTCTCCTCCTCTCTGTAACTCTGATTTGCAAAATAAAATAAATCTTTGTTTAAAAAGAGTACATAACAAAAATGTAATTTAAATATGTTAACTTACTCTAAGCAGGGCTAAGTGCTCACATGAAAAGAGACAGCTGACCCAGTGACAGCACAAGAACCACAAAGACAAGCTGTCCAAGGGGCACTGAGATGTCTGAGACCTGGGAAATTATCGGTGCCAAAACATGGGGAAAACATTTAATAGCCTTTAATTAAATAACTGCAAAATAAAACTTTATGTCTGTAGTCAACTGCAATTCAATTTAGTTCTTTTTATAATTATATGTAAATTATATTTAATGAGGGGTAAAGATATACTGTAGTACATTCAATTGATAGTACGGCAGAGGCTTGAACATCAGGATCCATTCCTGTGCTCAAAGAAGTTCGTAAAGCAGCCTTGACCTTGAGAGGGAATGGAAGCTAACTAGGGGCAGAAGAAGTAGATTCCAGTCTCCCGTGTTTCTGTGCTCAGTGGTGAGAATTCTCTTTCACAAAAAACATACACACACACACACACACACACACACACATACACACACACACATGCACCCATGCACACTCATCAAACATGTTTTACTTAATTCACAGATAAAGAGAATCCACTATAAATTTCAACCCTCATGCAGACCGCTGTAAGGAAGCCTAATTTCTCCCAGGTGCACTGTTGCAGGTGGAAGGCACTTTGGAAAGATCTGTCTCGAGTCCTTGCTGTGCTACTTGCTGGGCAGGGCCCCTTCATCAGATCATGCAGGTGAGTTACTAAAGGGAAGGGGAAGCCCTCCTCTTCTCAGCCCCCTTCTCACAGCCAGCCTTTGTAGTCTTGTGTTGGATGCTCTTATACAAACCATGTGCGTATGACCATAACACGTATGCAACTGCATTGAAACTACATTTTTGCATTTTTTATCTCCTCCAGAATGCTGTGGCTTCCTTGAAGAAGGACTGTTTCTTATTCTTTGTGTTCTCAATACGGTATTTGGAAGACAAAATACATTAGTAAGTGAACAAGAAATTAGCCTTGGGCCCTTGTGTCTTGGACACAGACTTAACCAGCTGGTAGAAGTACTCACAGTGGAGACACTGTTGTCGTTATGATGGACCACTCACAACAGTCAGGTTCTTGCAGGAGCAAATGTTTTATTACTCTCCAGAACTCTATGAAAGCCAGTTGACATACACGGTGATTTGCCATTCTATTCTGTAACCCTTGCCAAAGTGGGATTACTTGCTAACTATCTTAGTTCCCTGTATGCAAACCTACTCAAGACTTGTAATGGATGTACAATTTTGGAAACTAAAGTGAACATTATGACTGTTTCTTAGGGAAAAGAATCAGAACCATTTAGACTGTTTAAATGGTAGACCCTGGGACCAGCATTGCACCCTAGTGGGTAAAGCCACTGCCTGGACGCTTGCATCCCTTATGGGTGCCAGTTCAAGTCCCAGATGCTCCACTTCTGATACAGATCCCTGCTAATGTGTCTGTGGAAGCAGCGGAACATGGCTAAAGCCCTTGGGCCCCTGAAACCACATGGAAGACCCAGAAGAAGCTCCTGGATCCTGGCTTCAAACTGGCCCAGCTCCAGCCCTTGCAGCCATTTGGGGACTGAACAAGCAGTTTCTCTCTCTCTCTCTCTCTCTCTCTCTCTCTCTCTCTTTCCCTTTCTCTCTCTGCAACGCTGCCCTTTCAAATAAGTAAATAAAACTTAAAAAAAAAAAATGGTTTACCCTCCTTTAAAGAGACAGGAGAAAAATTCTAAATAGATTCCACTTTCCTGAGCAGAAAAAAACTATATCTCAATGGTAGAAATAACAAGGGCAAGTTAAAAGAGTTCCTATTTATTATTTTTTTCAATTTCTTATATAAAAATGGAATTTTACAGCTCTGATAATCTAGTAACAACCTCAGCCTTTCAAGCATTATATGGTGATTCATGTCACAATAAAAAATCACCTACAGGTACCCTAAGACATACAGTAAATGTCATCTATATGATAAAGTTTCTCAAAAAATGAGAAATTACTGGCTACATGGTCCAAAGCACATTCATCAATATGTTGTATATCATCTGACTTCAAACAGTTACAAATATTTATGATAATTGAACATATTGTTTAACATGATGAAGTCTGAAAAGGCTCATTAACTCTAATTTGATTCAGTATCTCCATTTCTTTTCATTTGCAAACTCATGATTCCATAGTTCTGTAACATTAGCTTAATTATATAAGCAGTGAACCATCCCTAAATCTGTATTCATGTTTGGCTTAGTGCAAGATGAATGTTGAGATTTTTACTTCTGAAATGCTTTTCTGAACAAATTCATCCATTTTCTTTATTTTACTTCTTGGAATTTCAAGGCTACAGCACAAATTAGAAATTGCAGTCGTGGTATTTTAGCAGATGAGGATCATTGAGGTCACAGATATTAGAAATATGTGTTAAATGACTCATGACCATCATATGTTGAAGTATTATTATAAAGGTAACAGGATTATAATTACCTTTATAAATGTCAAAAAGACATAGATGAAAGACAATGCAGTAAAACAAAAGCTAGATCTAAATGTTAAAATAAGCAAATGAATAACAATTAGAAAGTTAAATTTAGTAATTTAGAGTCAAACCTGGACAGCCATCTATTCTTTAAATTTACACAAGATTTTATTATCATTCTTGGACCTTCTCTTCATATTCAATGTATGAGATTTTTTTTCTTTTCCTTAAAATGGATTTCCATTAATATGAATTTAAGAAATAGTTTCCTTTTTTAAAGATTTACTTACTTATTGGAGAGACAGAGCTGGAAGGCAGGGAGACAGAAGAAGGGGTTTTCAATCCTCTGGTTCACTCCCCAAATGGCCGCAAAGGCCAGAGTTGGGCTAATTCAAAGCCAGGAGCTTCTTCTGGATCTCCCACGTAGGTACAAGGGCCAAGCACTTGAGCCATCTTCTACTGCTTTCCCAGGCCTTTAGCAGAGAGCTGGAATGGAAGAGGAGCAGCTGGGTCATGAACTGGCACCCACATAGGATGCTGGCGCCAAAGGTGGAGGCTTAACCTAGGACAACACAGCACCAGCCCAAAGAAATAGTTTCTTAATTTCTATTAAAATGAGTTAAAGAAATAGTTATTTATCAAAAATTAATTTGCCATTCTATGTTTTTCCATGAGTTGACACAATCTTAGATTATCTGTAAAGTTCGATCAGTATTCATTGCAGTGACACCTTCCACAAAGCTACAGACTTTCAGATTCAAATACATATGCAAAATTTCTGGTTCCTTCAGTGATTTTCTTCCACCAGGCTTCCTTTCTATACTTAGGTTTGTGCCAGTTGATTTGCATTAATGAGGTAATCCATGATAGCTTTCAGACTTTCCCTCTTCTTGCCTTTCCTTAGCTTATGATATAATGCCAGCATCCCAATGCCCCAGTGACTTGGAAAACAGAGGTCACTGGCCCTGGGTGATACTGTGGTGGCTGAAGAATTGCATTTCCCAGAAAGTGCCAGGTGACCCGGTGCATGCTGATCAGCTGGGACTTGTCCTCGGAATCACAGCTGTAAGACCTTTGGAAACAAGGAGGCCACATAACCAAGAGCCCTTGCAAAACTGCCACAATGTCACATTGATTTCAGGTTGTAGAAGATGAAAGTAATAGAGGAGTTAAAACAATAACAATCTGTGTTTGATTATGATTGAAATGTCAAGTGAACCAATAAGAAATAAGACAGAGTTGGAGTGAGAAGTCCTAAGATTCCTTAAATGGCTATAAAAGCCACCCCCGCAGTGTCTGCCAGATAGACACCCCCAGAGACTGAAGATCTACTTTACTCACTTTTCCAAGTTATTTTGGTCAGCTTTGCCCTGACATTTCTAGAGAGCCATTCTAGAAGGTCACATCCTTCTACTAGACTTGCCTGTTTTTCTTTTTATTACCAAGGGATTGTTAAAAAATAAACACAAACCTCTGCTCCTGGGATTAATGTTGTTTTCCCCAATGGGCTGCAGTTTTGCTGGAAAAAAATTGTGCTCAAATCTTTGCATTTCTGCCATTATATTCTTTCCACACTCAAAGCCTCTGGAACAGATTTAAAAACAAATAAACAGAAACAAGGAAGAAGACTGACTAATTTGTCTTTCTTACCAATGCTCAGAACACTAATTACTATCACAGCAAACAGAGAGTAGAATCCTCCCCATTCAGAGATAGACATAGACTCATCATTCCTCTTGAGATACTTTAGGTACCTCAATTGTCCCCATGTATGTCATAGGTCATTAATCTAAGGTGGTGATATATCTAAAAGAGACATCTAGGAATACAACCAGTTGCTTGCAGAACTGTTTTCAGCATGCAAAATTTAAAACAAGCATAATGCCCCTCACGGTGGCTCTCTCCTGGAGACTCCTCTGTCTCAGGGAGTGGTGTCTGTGGTGAACCCTGACGAGGATGGTCACAATGGAGGAGACACCCAGTTCTAGCCAGCCTTGGCTCAGAGCAGACATCCACCACTCCAAGGCCATCAGTGGGACCAGTGACATGTCCTGAACCAAACTACAAAGACCAGGAATCCTTAGCCTATATAGGAGATAGCCATCCCGTGCACTGTCGCTGCCACAGTTAAGCTACCACATGGCAAATATTAGCTCTGGGGAGGAAAGTACTGTGATATAGATGAGGAAGTAGGCCTTTTTCTGCATGTACTTCTGTGCAGGTTAAATTTTACAAGTCAAACCTTAATAACATCCAAATTTAGACAGAGGAAGAAAATACATATATGTATATGTATGTATGTGTGTGTGTATATATATATATATATATATATATATCCAGATCCAGAAGTCAAGGTCAATAATTTGGGTTTATTGATTTGGCTTATTTTGTCTTAATATTCTGTAATGTAGATCTTTTATTTGGTATATAAGAAATTGAGGATTATTTAACTATGAAAAACCTCATGGTTAGAGTAAAAGAAAAATAAGGATGAGTTACATTTTTAATAATAGCAGGGTATTGTGTGGCAAGGTCTACATGCTTTAAATGTGTGAACTCATTTAGTTTTCATGACAATTTTGTAAAGTAGGTTTATTATTACACAGTTGTGAAAGGTGAGGAATGTGCAGTCACTATCTCAAGGTCACATAACCAAAAATAATAATGCAACACAGAAAAGGAATTTTCAGTCCTCATTAGAAATGACCTACATCCAATGCAATGCACAGATACAAAGGGTTGAGACTCACCCATCCACATACAGCAGGTGAAGAAGCCACAGTCTAGAGGCAAATGTTTAGCCCAGCAGTTAAGACTCCTGCAACCCACATCAGAATGCCTGGCTTTGATACCAGCTTCCTGCTAATGCAAGCCCAGCGATGTGATGGCTCCAATGACTGAGTTAATGCTACTCACACAAACACCTGGTTGAGTTTCTGACTCTTGTCTTCAGCCCCAGCTCAGAGCCATTGGGGGCATTTGGGGAATGAACCAGTGGATGCTGTCACTTGCTCTCTGGCACGGGCTCTCTCTCCTCTCTCTGCCCCCCTTGCTCTCTTTCTCTCTGTCTCTCAAATTAAAAAATAATGAAATAGCCTCAGTCTATATGGAAAGGCTATCAGTATCAGCATATGTGTTCTGAAGGATTTTTAAATAAACAATAAAGCTTCTATATATACCACCGTACTATTACCAGCACCAAGTGAAACAGTGACAGGCAGTTGGAAAAGGATTGTTGCTGAACCCTCTCAGAACTCCCCACCCAAAGAGACATTGGTCTCTCCTATTTCCCTTTCCCATATTACTATCTAAATAACTGGCAGGCTGTTAGGTGAAAAAAAGTCATGTAAAAGTTAGATACTACTATTTCTAAATTGCATTCTTTTTTTAAAAGATTTATTTATTTTACTTGAAAGTCACAGTTACACACAGAGAGAAGGAGAGGCAGAGAGAGACAGAGAGAGGTCCTCCATCCGCTGGTTCACTCCCCAACTTGTCACTCCCCCTCTTCGTGGAGGAGCGACACTGAACCCTGCCTAGGCTTCATATCTGAGTCACGGCACCATTATGTCGCTCCCCGTCTTCGTGGAGGAACGACACAGGACCCTGCGCTGTTCTTTCGTCTGCTTGGCCCTCCCCGGGTTTGTTGCTGGTTCTTCCCGGCTTGGCTACCGACCCTTCCACCTCCGTGGAAGGGCGGTTCCCCCTGCCACATTCCCCACTTCCGCGGGGGAGCGGCACACCGCCGGCCGGCTCTCTCGGGGACTGCACAGGTGTTCCTTCAGATAGATGTTCCCCTTAGATGTTCCTCGTGCATGTTGTCTCTCTCCTCCTTTATAGTCCTCTTCCATCAATCCCAACTCTGCTACCCACGCGCCGAGTACGCTGCTCTCCTCCAATCAGGAGCAGGTCCTGCTGTTTATTGGTTGAACTGGAGGCAGCTGAGTAGAAGCTGTTTCTTCCTCTCCCAGCGCCATATTGTGGGAAAGCAGATGCATAGAATAAGTCTTAATTCCAGTAACTTAGTCTAGTCCGAGTTGCTCCCCACACAACTGGCCGCAACAGCTGGAGCTGTGACATAACGGGTAAAGCCGCCGCCTGCAGTGCCGGCATCCCATATGGGCGGTGGTTCAGAACCTGACTGCTCCACTTCCAATCCAGCTTTCTGCTGTGGCCTGGGAAAGCAGTGGAGGATGGCCAATGTCGTTGGGCCCCTGCACCCGCATGAGAGACCCGGAAGAGGCTAAATTGCATTCTTATAGCCCAGTCATGTGAATATATGAAACATGAAAAAGAGAGGTTTGTGGTCTAAAGCATGGGTCAGGAAACATGGCCCATGGCCCCATGTGTCTACTGCCTGAGTAGAGATTATGAACAATAAACAAAATCCATATGGCTTTGAGTTCTTATAGTTTTAAATGGTTGGGAGGAAAGCCAAAAGGAGAATAATATTTCATGATGTGAAATTAAAATTTCTATGTCCGTGAAGTTTTACTGGAGCACAGCCATGCTCATGGCTTACATGTTGTTCATAGCAGCTCTCAGGCTACGTTGGCAAGTTCAAGTAGTTTCAGGAAAGACCTCAGATGACCTACAGAGCCTCAAATATTTCCTCATGTGACCCTTCACAGAAATTTGCTAATTTCTGGTCAAAAGATTTGGAAAGCGCTTCTTGAGCAAAGGAACACCAGCTGTTTATTTGCTGTTGAACTTTCTCCATCACAAGCACTCCTGTGGTTTTCTGGCTCTGGATAGGGGCTGTGGTTTGCAGCATCTTGCAGGATGGTAAACTCCTACTCTGGAGTACAGGTTCTCTAGCAGGGATGCAAACTCAGAAATTAAGGGAGAGCTAACGGCAAATTTTCAGATTACCTGTGAATCCGTTGGAAAGTTGGCGCAGGTAAAGAGGATTTGAGTTCTAAATGTCTCTCAGATTATACCTACACCAACGATTCTCCCTTAGGAATATAACTATGGGTAGGTGGGATGGGGAAATGACTTTGAGTAACTAAATATTCCCATTATCATTACACTGTAAAAAAGATATCATAATGGTTAAGTGTTAATATTAAATAAACTAGAGGCTGGCGCTGTGGCAAAGCAGGTTAAAGTCCTGGCCTGAAGTGCCAGCATCCCATATGGGCACCAGTTCAAGATCCAGCTGCTCCACTTCTGATCCAGCTCTCTGCTATGTCCTGGGAAAGCAGTAGAAGATGGCCCAAGTCCTTGGTTCCCTGCATCCATGTGGGAGACCCGGAAGAAGCTCCTGGCTTCAGAACGGCACAGCTCCAGCCTTTGCAGCCAATTAGGGAGTGAACCATAGGATGGAAGAACTCTCTCTCTCTTTCTCTCTCTCTCTCTCTCTGCCTCTCCTCTCTGTGTAACTCTGACTTCCAAATAAATAAATAAAATCTTTAAAAAATATTAAATAAACTAAGGGTTAAATTTCTTTAGTTATAATTGCTAAAGACTTAGGATATCAGCAAATGTTGTATAACAACCGCTGTCACTTGAATCTTAGAACAGGATCAGGCCATTTCTGAGTCGCAAATTCTCCTTTTGTGAAAGCATGGTGCCCTCTAGTGGCTGACTTGTTACAGTGCTTAAATTTTCCCAACATCTATAAAAGATAGGGAAATAGTATGTGCACTTTTTCTGATTTTAAATGTTAACTAGTTTATCTGGAAAACATGTGCAAAGCACTTCCCTGTGTTGATGGCATGGTTGTGAGAAATAGCACTGGATAGTGTAAAGGGTACCAGACGAACAGTCAGGACACCTGGGCAGTGGAGCAAAACCCATGACATACAGGCCATTTGACTTGGAGAGGACACTTGTGAACTTGAGCTTTGGTTTTCTCACAGTGCTGTTCTAAATAACAGTGGAAGAAGAAGCTCCAAAAAGTTCCTGGCAAATGTAATTAAAATATATGTTTATTTTGATGCAAAAATACTGAGATTCAGGTACACAAGGAGTCTCATAAAGTTTGTGAAATATGTGAATAATGAAAAGTTTTGCTTGGATTTCAAAATTTTTCACAAAATAAGCTTTTTTATTTTATTTTCTATAAGCTCTTTCTTTTCTGAATGTGGTGGTCCTTTTTTTTTTTTTTTTCATTTGAGAGGCAGAGAGACAGACAGACACAGAGCGCTCCCATTCAATGGCTCACTCCCCAAATTCCTGCAATGGTTGAGGTTAGGCTGGGCCGAAGTGGAGAGTCAGAAACTCAGTCAAGGTCTCCCACGTGGGTGGCAAGAACCCAACTATTTCAGCCAGCCATTACCACTGCCTCTCAGGGCCTGCATTAGCAGCAAGTTGGATTCAAGAAACAGAGCTAGGAATTAAACTCAGGTACTCCAGTGTAGAATGTAAGCATCTTATCCAACGTCTTAATTACTAGGCAAAAAGTCTACCCCGAAAGCCCTCTTTCTACTATAGTGCACACTCCACTAGGAGATGGTAAAATGTTACTATCATGTATGATATACAGAGTTTATTTTAAATGTCCAGAAAGTCAAGACATATGGAGTCAATGTAGGATTGGGTGACAAAGCATTTCATGCCCAAGAACAGGAGACACACAC